GAACAAAATAAACAAATAACACATAACAAACAATAACATATAATACAAGACTACAAATACCAACCAAAATAAATAATAACAAATCACTAATACACAATTACACATAAACAAACAAATAAATCAATAAAATAAATAACAACTAAAATAAACAAATACATAATCCAATATTCAACAAAAAAACTTCTTAGGACAGCAAATGTTCATCCACAGTGGGCATGATAGAGTCTCTTGATTCCACAATCTCGAGATTAGCAATGGCACATCAAGCATCATCCGAATCATCATTTACCTCATCATCTACAAAACAATGATCAATTAAAATATTAATAAATGTAAATAATAAAATATAGAAATATTAGTTAACCTATTACCTTCAAACTCATTTCCATATAGCAAGTTCGAGTGCATATCAAAGATTCGCATTTTTTGGTCGAAGTGAGCTTCGAGGCAACAGTGGAATTAGAAACAAGCATAGGATAAAGGCCTTAGAGATTTATTCTTGAGAATGTAATTCCATAAGTAACCGAAAATGAAAGATTTTACATAACTATGACTAGCTTTAGCTTAACAAAACTTCCAACTCCAATCACCAAACACTGGTGTACGAGATAGAAACCTACACAATATCTACAAAACAAAAAGTTCTAGAGGCTTGTTTTCAGGTTAGTGAACACAAAAACTTGTTTATTTCAACCTGACTTCATCTCTAATGTTGAAACAAGCAGAGACGAGTCTAACCAAAATGATGAATATCTATTGAAGAAATGTCTCAGTCCTGAACTTCTGATGTTGGATGTCAAACAGATCTCAACCTGCAAAATGGCATATAAACCCCAACAATTTAGCAAGTGGAACACGACAAATCTAACAAGCCTCTGATGGTTTTACTAATTTTAATGTTATACAAAAACTTCTATCACCACAAAAATAATGTAATCCAACCATTACTTAAAAAAAAGAAAAAAAAGGCAGGCCATGTCAGAAGTTGAAGTCTCCAGTTTGAATAATTTGTAAAGTAAATTACGAAGGTTTTATGAACAAAAACCACTCAGACCGATAAAGACATGTACAACACAAAATTGATGACCAATATCTATTAGGAAACAAAAAAACTATTGAACCTCTTAGAATTTGACCTTCCCATTCCGTAGCCAACAATAAAAGAGATGTACATAACTTGACTAGCTTTAGCCTCTAGAAAGCATTCTGGATGTTGCTGCTAGACAAACATTATGATCAATGAAAAAGCACATTGGAAAAGAAGAGGGAAAGAAAACACCAGGATGTATACACAGAAAAAGGCACTTGGAAAACCAGCAAACAAATGAGGCACAGGGCAGCACTTATTACCACCGTCTCTATTATTAAGTATCCTATAAACCAATAATGAAGTTGCATGGAAACAGATAGCATGGAAGAGGAAAACAATGAATCGTTATTTGCTATCCGATCCCCATAAACCTTCTTTTGATTTTAAACTGTCAGAATTCAGATTGAAACAATGATTTGTGTTTGACAATGATAATAGAAGTTCTCAGAACGCATAAGTTCAATAAGATTATAAATTCAAGAAAACAGAGGAGAAAAAATATAAATGATAATAACAAATAAATCTCTTTATTCCACCGTATAATAACAATAATAGTATAGCAAATATAATATATAACAACAATGAATGATACAACTCAAGAAATGACTCTCTCAAATCTCAAAACAAACATCCTCCATCGATCATCCATAATCCATTATAGATAATATAACAACTAAGTGTCCATGCCTTTTCATCTTGAGATTTCAAAGCCTAGACCCCCTGGTAGCAGAATGCCACTATCACCACAATTATAAAACAGAAAACGAGAACACTGTCTAGTTAACTACACCATAACCAGAAATGATACATAGAGATCTAGTGGCTCAAAACTCAAAAAATTGAACATTTTACACAAGTACATACTACAGTCTACTGTCTAGTGTCTAGTAAATACCCTTAATGATGGAGTCTTGAGACGGAGAGAGCAGGAGATGACGAGCTTGCGACGGAGAGAGACAGGAGATGACGAGCTTGCGACGGAGAGAGACAGGAGATGACGAGCTTGCACAACCGACGACTACAGAGAGAGGAGATGACGAGCCGACGACGATGAATGACTGCGATCGGCGACTGTGAACACGGAACAGAGGAGATGAGAGTTGAGAGAATGAAAACGCGAAACAGACAGTGATGAGAGATTCAGTTCAGAGGAGCGAGAGAGAAGAAGCAGTTGGGTCAAACCAGAGATAGAATTGTTGTTCTCTGTTACCCTTCCCTTGGCTGTACACATTAGTGTGAAGAATGTAAGGATCACCACTCAAATTTCCCAAGAACTCGAAGTCTATCTCATCCCATGTAGACCCTTCTGAGGACAACTGCAAATTTACACATTAAATTCAGTAACATGAACACATTTTATCACCAAAAAAGCAAAAAAAAAAATTTGAGTAAGAGAATATAATATAGTAACTTACATAGTAAGCAGTGACAGTGCCCGCTGAGTTTCCAGGGACAAGCTTCAGCTGCATATCAAGCTTGCAAAATAAATATTCATTCTTGGACTGGAAGCCAGAGCCAGAGGCTTTGTCAAGAGACAAAGTCAAAAGCTGTCCATTGTTAAGCATTTTAGCACGGCCATCTCCCCAAGTAATCTCAAAATTTTCGTCCAAGCTACCAGCAGAGGCAACTATCAAGGAACCTAGTAGAAGAAACAATTGCAACATCCAAGCCATGGAAGCTTTGATAGATTGAAACTGAGTAAAGTTTGAATTGTGTTAGTGATGAAGGTGTTGAGAATCATGGATTGTATTTATATAAAACTACTAGGCTGTTAAAGGTGACAAGAGGAAGGTGAAATTGTTATTTTGTATAAGAGTAAAAACTGATTAGACACGCTGGCTTTGCAAAATTTATGCAAAAAAGTTGAAGCGACATTGGGCGGTTGACTTCATCACAAGCTCCCTCCGACATTATAGAACCAGTACCATCTTCAACTGGGCCACCAGCACCATCAAAAAGAAGTGGTTCAATTGGACCAACTGCACCGTCAAACCAAAAGCTGAAAAGTAGAAACCTGTAACGTAAGTTAAAGCTGGTAAAACAAGAGTTGGGTAATTAATCTTTGGGACCCGATATTAATTCTGTTAACGCGTTTTTTCCGTGTGCATTTGAGAGAAGACCATTTTTGTTCTTTCAAAATATTAAAATCGTTTTTTGTTTTGTGAATGCGTTTTCAGAAAAATTGAAAAGCTGCAAGAAATGGAGACTTGTCAAAAAGAAAAAGGTCTCGGAAATGGCTGTTTACGATTTAGATATAGATTCAAATCGTATTTATTATTACAAAAAATAAACTTGTTCACCGAAAGTTTTAGTGTTAAAAACCATTTTAGAAAACGTTAAGAACTTACGTTATGTACGAGTTTGAGTTGGCATCAAAGCTGATAGAGATTAAGTCTAAGTTTAATGAAGCTTAATTTCTTCCTACGAGATAAAGCGATCTATGAAATTTATAAATTTGTAGAATCAACATCTTGCAAGAGGGCTTGAATCCTTCTAACTTAATTTTATTACCAAGCAAATTAAACGTTTTGAATAGAAGAACAAGTCTCAACCACGTAACTATACTATACTTAAAGCCACAAGAGAAAGTAGAAGTAGAAGAGAATTCGAATTCTACGGAGAACCATGCAATACTGTTTGTGGAGTTTGGAATGCAAGATCGATGTTGATACTCCGTTTAAACCAAATCAATCTAGAAAAATATTTGGTGTTAGAGAAATTCAGAAAGGATTAACACTGGCTGCATTCATTATATCTAGTATATTATTTTTTATTCCACTTGTAATTATGTCGGTTAATGAAGTTGGCCTACGGTTTATAAGCCTTGAATCCTTTTAATTAAGTAGACACAATAAATACATTTTAGGTGAAAGACAACCTTCGTAAAATTGGAAAGCAAATTCATGCAAATTGGGTTTAAAACAGATAATATCTAATTATTAATTAACGTTATTAATCATTTCTAATCACCTGAATTCCAATAATTCGTCAAGCTCGCCGCCTGTTATATCCTCTGACCTCATAGATCTCAATCTTTCCAATAATAATTTCTCAAGATCCATTTTTCAAATATTTTCTTATTAGATGAGGATGTTAAGATTTTTCGATCTTAAAAGATAAATTTTTTATTTGGAGAATTATCTTATTGTTGGAAGCATTTGAGATCATTGGAGATCCTTGATTTTGGGAACAACAAATTTAAAATTTTGTTGTTCCCAAAATCATTTAAAACTTTCACAGATTTAAAGGTACTTGACATAAGTCACAAAAAAAAAAAAAAAAAAAAAAAAAATGGACATAAGTCAAAATGAGTTTGAAGTTTCAGCTTAGATCAAAGAAATATTTTCAAGAATGATAATTCTCAATCATCGTTCACGTAGGTTTTATGGTTGTTTACTGATGGAACTTTGTCAATTCTCTTCTCTGCAAATCTTAGACCTTGTGTATAACAATCTCTCTGGAACAATACCAACATGTGTTAATAATTTTAGTGTCATGGTGACAACTATTCTATAGGCGATTGTTTTCATCATGGTAGTCTCTCAAAGGGTGAACTTTTTATGGAGGATGCAAACCTTGTGACAAAAGGAGAGATGTCAGAATATAGCAATATTCTTCACTTGGTAAGAACTAGTAGATCTTTCCAAAAATAATTTCTCTAAGGAGATTCCTATTGATTTGTCAAATCTTGAAGCACTGTAAATATTGAATTTGTCGTATAAATTTCTTATTCGAAGAATTCCTAAAACCATTGGTGCTATGACATCTTTAGAATCCATTAATTTTTCTAGCAATCAGTTTTCAGGCGAAATCTCATCTAATACAGAGATCCACTAACAGAGATCAGTTTTCTAGCATTTATATTTTAAAATGGATATTTTGTAATAATAATAATAATACAGAGATCCACTAACAGTTGGTCTTGGCCCAAGGAAGCCCAGTAAAGATTCCATCCATGGGCATAAATAATTATGAAATAAAGGTCCATTAAAGAATATAACTGTTGGATTACAATGAGAAATTACCAACCTTGGTGATAACTAAGATGGCAAAGAATGAAAGAATCTGAATCTAGCAATAGCATAACGAATTAATAACTACAATAAACAATAAAAGAATTGATGTTATATTTCGGTTTCACAAATTTAACTAGTCTCTAAGAGGTGGAGCTGCATTCTGTAGGGAGGCCCTGGGGAAATCTCTTAGTGTCACTGCAATAATTGTATATCATGTAGTTTTTCTGAACCCATTTCAATCTCTCTTGACTTGTGGTGTCAAGTTCTTGATTGAACCAGGCACCATTGCTGGATGTAGACGGAGAGTTTGAAGAGCAAGAAGATGCACCATTAGACCAAACACAAGCATCTGCTTTAAAGTTTCTGTAGGAAGCAGTGAAAGGAGCTTGAGTCCAATCTGTCTTCACAAGTCCACCTCTGGTAGCCCAGTCATCAGCATTCCAGAGAGAAGAGTATATTCTCATTGGCTGATTCTTTGGGAATGGAACACCACTTGACTCTGAGTTCTTGAACTCTCTTATGGGAGTACCATCCACAGAGAAGCTGAAATTAGAAACAAAAGATTGGTGAGTCTAAACAGATCCAGAACAACAACTAAGCAAGATTGAGATTTATGTTAGAGGGAAGAAATTAATTAAATAGAATACTCACACAATGCGCTGGGGATTCCAGAGAATGGAATAGGTGTGAAAATCAGCAGTTGGGTCAAACCAGAGATAGAATTGTTGTTCTCTGTTACCCTTTCCTTGGCTGAACACATTGGTATGAAGAATGTAAGGATCACCACTCAAATTTCCCAAGAATTCGAAGTCTATCTCATCCCATGTAGACCCTTTTGAGGATAACTGCAAAAATACACTCATTTTAGTAACATGATCACTGACAAAGAAATTAAGCTGAAAATCTAATCAATACAGTTTAGGAACTTACATAGTAAGCAGTGACAGTGCCAGCAGAGTTTCCCGGGACAAGTTTGAGCTGCATATCAATATTCCCAAATAAATATTCATTCCTGGATTGGAAGCCAGAGCCAGAGGCTTTATCAAGATTCAGAGTAAGAAGCTCCCCGTTGTTGAGAATCTTTGCACGGCCATCTCCCCAAGTGATGTCAAAATCTTGGTTGAAGTTACCAGCAGAAGCAACCATCAAAGAACCAAGAAGAAGAAACAAATGCAACATTGAAGCCATAGAATCTCTGATTGAAGCGAAGAACAATCTATGAAACTAAGTGAAGTTTGAATTGTGATTAGTGAAAGTGAAGCGATGAGTTGAGAATAACAATGGTTTGTATTTATAGTGAGGCTAGGCCTGTGTATGAAGAAGCGAAGAGGAAAGTGATAGGAAGGAAGAATCAGCTAAGCTGGGGACAGTTGTTAACATGAAAAAGCGTTAAAAAGAAAAGCTGGAGGTGTCGCAATCACTAACAAAAGAAGACAGCCACAGCCAGGATATATTATAATAATAGTGAATAACACGCGGTTTGGGTTGTATTTGTAGAGGAAACTGGAAAGAAATAGATTTACTGGCTGTTGCCCGTTGGGTGTTGCCATCACCAGCTGACTCTTAGATTTTCAACAAGCTCATTAATGACAGTATAAGACAAGTGGAATACCCATACATTGTAATCTAATTCTTATCATCTAAGTGAAACTTTGAACACAATTTAACGGTTTTTACTTCTCACTAGCCTTTGAGCAGGTGTTGTACTTTGTCTATTCGGATCATAATGTTATTGGTCAAACCTTTGAACATAATTTAATGATTGTTAGTTGTTACTAGCCTATTATATTATTTGGGAATAAGCAAACCACATATTTCCACCTAAAGTTAAGCGAAATTTTAGATTGATACTCTTAATTGATTTCTTATAGATTTTCATTCTTAAAGTAACATCATTTCTTTTAGTTTGACAAATTTTCAATTTTCCATTGTAACACGATGTAAGTTAGCACACTAAAGTTTATTATAGGAGTGTTCAGTTTTAGGTACCCTGTATATTTTAAAAGAACCAGAACTGAAACTAACGATTCCTTAAAATTGAAACCGAAACTAAAACTAACGGTTCCAGTTCCTAGGTATCTAGAATCGGAACCTGTAACAACGGCTCCGATTTTGGTTTTGGATACCCTATAAAATTTATGACCCCCCAAAAGTTTTTAAAATAGCAAAAAAAACCCTTAAAAACATACAAATACCACCCCCTCCCCTCCCAATCTGGAACTTGTTAACAAAAATAAAATTACAAGTTATAAATTCAAAACTACAAACTCCATTACTTTGTAAAGATAGATTCTCAAAAGTCAAACCAACTTACTTTAAATGTAATGAAATATAAATATAAAAGTATTCACATTACTTTTTCTACAAAAGTTTTTATTAACCCCCTACTCTTTAATTTTATTTTATATTAGTCTCGGTTTCCAGTTCCAGTTCCTAACTATAAGAACCAGAACCGAAAACGCACAATAATGGTTCCAAAAATTTGGAACCGGAACCTACCTGTTGACGACTGGTTCCGGATAGGAACCAGAATCAAACCCTAGATACCCGTCAGTTTCGGTTCCAATCGGTTCTTTTGAACACCCTTAGTGCATTAACACTTTTTTTGGCAAAAGACTAGCTCATGTTAGCAAAAAGAGCTCATGTTAGCAACATCTAAACCGACGGTTTTTTATTTTTTTAGACAAATTCTGAAATCCAAAATCACTTCTGAGACTACTGTTGGATTCCCCACAACCTTCCTTACAAAACCTATACCTTCACTTATTGATCTCATTTACCGTTTTCGACTATCTCTAATAATCATTAATGGTGTTGGTTTAAGGGTGAAATCAAAATAAAGATAATTAAGGATACCACCTTATAATTTCGCTAAACCTAGGTGGGAATACGTCGTTTACTCTGGGAATTTCCATTTTTATTTTTTTAATCGCCTTACTCTTTTTGGTTTTTCTGTGGCGGTGGTGGCCGGTGGGTAACGTACTTACGTTAAATCCAAACGACAGCGTTTCATTGAGGGGAACTAGAGCAGTGGCCCACACCCTGTCGCCACTTTCTTTATAAAGTTTAGAAAACCGCGTCTGATAAATTTTGTCCGTGTAGCCTCATAACTTTCCATTGTTCCTCAGCCAACTGTACACAGCTTAATCAAGTGAAGTTTCCTAAGCTTTTCCACTGCTCAAATTTGTAGTATAAAAATATCCGCCAAGCTCACACCTCTTATCACTCAGTTCTACTTCTCTTTACTTCAAAATCTTTCTCCATTATAGCTGCTAAAAATCATTCATATTCAAAGATTCTTTATGGCTTGTTCAGTTTCTTCTTCAGCTATTCCATCAATGGTGATGGTTGGCCTTTCGGTTCTCTCTTTTGCTGTTGCTTCTGCTGGTAACTTCAACCAGGATTTTGACATCACTTGGGGAGATGGCCGTGCCAAGATTCTCAACAATGGAGAGCTTCTTACTCTGAATCTTGATAAAGCCTCTGGCTCCGGCTTCCAATCCAGGAATGAGTATCTTTTTGGCAAGATTGATATGCAGCTCAAACTTGTCCCTGGAAACTCTGCTGGCACTGTCACTGCTTACTATGTAAGTTCCTCAACTGTTTTGACTGGATATTTAGTTTAATTTCTTTGTAAATTCATGTTACTTAAATGTTATGTGAAATTTGCAGTTGTCCTCAAAAGGGTCTACATGGGATGAGATAGACTTCGAATTCTTGGGAAATTTGAGTGGTGATCCTTACATTCTTCATACCAATGTGTTCAGCCAAGGAAAGGGTAATAGAGAACAACAGTTCTATCTCTGGTTTGACCCAACTGCTGATTTTCACACCTATTCCATTCTCTGGAATCCCCAGCGCATTGTGTGAGTATTCTATCTAATTAATTTCTTCCCTTTAACTTAAATCTCAATCTTGCTCAGTTGTTGTTCTGGATCTGTTTAGACTTACCAATCTTTTGTTTCTAATTTCAGCTTCTCTGTGGATGGTACTCCCATAAGAGAGTTCAAGAACTCAGAGTCAAGTGGTGTTCCATTCCCAAAGAGTCAGCCAATGAGAATATACTCTTCTCTCTGGAATGCTGATGACTGGGCTACTAGAGGTGGACTTGTGAAGACAGATTGGACTCAAGCTCCTTTCACTGCTTCCTACAGAAACTTCAATGCTGATGCTTGTGTTTGGTCTAATGGTGCATCTTCTTGCAATTCAAACTCACCTTCTTCCACATCCAGCAATGGTGCCTGGCTCTCTGAAGAACTTGATATAACAAGTCAAGAGAGACTGAAATGGTTTCAGAAGAACTACATGATTTACAATTATTGCAGTGACACCAAGAGATTTCCCCAGGGCCTTCCTGTAGAATGTAGCAGTACCTCTTAGAGACAACTCATTACATCAATTCTTTCATTATTTGGTAGTAATCATCTACAAACCTAGCTCAATTCTACCATTTTTTCATTCTTTGCCATCTATTTTGTATCTTTGTTACTGTAAAAGGCAAATTGGCCCAACTAACACCATGTAATATTAATATAAGCATCATGTTCAATTTACTTTCCTGTACTCCAAGCTTGTGTGATGTATATAGCCAAATAAAAAAGAATATAATTACCCACTATTTTGGCCCGAGTGGATAATGATATGCTCCGTGTGACTATCGTCTAATCTTCTATCCCCTCAAATTTAGTGCAACTGAAAGTGCACAGAGCTATCAAACAAAAACAAAAGCAAGAAAAGTAATAATAAAGTATTAAATTTTTGCACAAAATCTCGTGCATTCCATCTCTTTATGGCGCGCCAGTGGCAGCACACTCAGGAGAGAAGCCTCTTGGGAAACGCTTTTTGTCTGTACAATAATTGTAAACCATGTAGTTCTTTTGAACCCACTTGAGTTTCTCCAGGCTCGTTGAATCAAGCTGCTCTAAATTGAACCATGACGGGGAAGTCTTTGAAGTGCAATGAGAATTTGACCCGGAACGCCATATACAACCTTGGGCGTCATTGAAGTTCCTGAAAGAAGCTGTGAAAGGAGCCTGAGTCCAATCTGTTTTGACGAGACCACCTCTTGTTGCCCAGTCATCTGCATTCCAGAGACTTGAGTGGATCCTCATGGGCTGGTTTTTTGGGTACGGTACAGTGATTTTCTCCAGGTTTTTGAACACTCTGATGGGTATGTTATCAACATAAAAGCTAGAAAATGTAAATTAAAAATGATTAGAATTATAATACAAGAACTTTGAATCTTCTACTCATTTTAACTTGTAACATCCAGCTCTATTTTCAAGATATCATGAATTTATCTTTCATCCGTCTTAAATAGTGAGGTTTAAAACACTTTTCCTTTCGATTTGAATCCATGATTTTATCATTGAAAACGAATTAAAAATACCATTACTTAAGGTAGGTAAAAAGTAAAATTCAATAATATCTTGACAGTAAACTTGGGCGTTTCAGAACTTGTCTGAGTATTCCATGAAGACGTGATTACATGATTGCATGGGGGCTCCAAAGAATTGAATAGGTGTGAAAATCTGCAGTAGGGTCAAACCAGGGATAGAATTGTTGCTCTCTGTCACCTTTGCCTTGAGTTATTATATTTGTATGAAGAATGTAAGGATTGCCACTTAAATTTCCCAAGAACTCAAAATCTATCTCATCCCAAGTTGATCCTTGAGAAGATAACTGCACAAATGGGTGAAAATTTTGTATCAAAAAGAATGAAAAGTGCACAAGAAACATGCAGCTAAGTTAGCTTACATAGTAGGAAGTGACAGTGCCGGCAGAGTTTCCAGCGACAAGTTTGAGTTGCATATCTATCTTGCCAAATAGATACTCATTCTTGGATTGAAAGCCTGAGCCAGAGGCTTTGTCGAGAGAAAGAGTAAGAAGATGGCCATTGTTGAGGATCTTGGCACCGCCATCTCCAAAAACAATGTCAAAATCTTGATAAAAGTTATTTGCTAACACAATATTAAGCACCATGAAAGAGCTGCAAAACATAACACATGTTATCAACACTGGTGGCGCGGCCATTGATATCTGAAACTGAGTGTGGAATTTGTGAGCTTCAGAGATGGATTTATTAGAAGAAAAGATGAACAAAAGGGTGCCATTTGGAAAGGCAAAAGAGTAAGAGGAAAAAGTAAACAAAGAGATTAGAGAGGGATGAAGGTGGAGTAAGCGTAAGTTGAGAGAACAGATGGCAAAGAAAGGTGGTGACTAGGGATTGTGAAGTGCGCATGTCACACAAGTGACAGCCCTGGTGGTGGCTTATTTACACGTTGGTGTTTGGGGTGATGACAGCTTTTTTACCAAAGCTGCGGATCGATCGACCTTGCGCCGCCTCCACTTTGTGTGTGTGTGCCTGCATATTTACCTGCCCACAAGCGGCCAAAGAGATTAGAGAAGTGATAGACCACAGAGTTGAATAGAGGTTATGCTTATTTACAAACTCATAACTGCTAGTTTTAGCATCTCTATGCTGCCATTTTCCAACTATATGTGCTTGATAAAATTAAATAGGGGAGGAATGAATAATATGAGGTCATCTTCATGGTAGAAACTATTTGTGTTATTTATTTTAGGAGGAATGAATAATATAAGGTTTAGCTAAATAAGATATGTTTCGAGTGAACAAATTTTGTACAAAGTTAAAAAACATCAAATTAAGGAGATGCATTTAGATGATCTCTTGTGTTTAGGATTAGTTAAATAGACACGTTTTGAGTTAACGATGTTTATGTAAAGTTAAAAACGTTTAACTAAAGAGATGCATTTAGGTGAAGCATATTTCCATACAACCCAAAAAAGGTAAATTCGTAAAGGTGTATAATGCTTGCGTGATGACCAAAATGGATAGTTTCACTTTATTATTTTAATATCTGACAAATTCATCTTCATTTATTAGGTTGGCTTTTTGTATTCATTGNTAGCATCTCTATGCTGCCATTTTCCAACTATATGTGCTTGATAAAATTAAATAGGGGAGGAATGAATAATATGAGGTCATCTTCATGGTAGAAACTATTTGTGTTATTTATTTTAGGAGGAATGAATAATATAAGGTTTAGCTAAATAAGATATGTTTCGAGTGAACAAATTTTGTACAAAGTTAAAAAACATCAAATTAAGGAGATGCATTTAGATGATCTCTTGTGTTTAGGATTAGTTAAATAGACACGTTTTGAGTGAACGATGTTTATGTAAAGTTAAAAACGTTTAACTAAAGAGATGCATTTAGGTGAAGCATATTTCCATACAACCCAAAAAAGGTAAATTCGTAAAGGTGTATAATGCTTGCGTGATGACCAAAATGGATAGTTTCACTTTATTATTTTAATATCTGACAAATTCATCTTCATTTATTAGGTTGGCTTTTTGTATTCATTGGGTCGCATGACAATGCAAATAAAATTATACACAAACTTTGTATAATTTTAGGATTCTTTAATAATAAAATCCATTAAATCAGATTGCTTATATATATAATTTAATTTCTCCTAAAATCTTGATTTAAACACACAGAAAAAATTAATCTACTCAAAATTAGTTAAAGAACTTTCATAGAATACAAACAAATCCTTACAAAAGATGTGGCGGGCCTATTTTGAAATTTATCGGGCCTAATGGGTTAGTGTTAAGACAACACTATGGGCCCAAACCAGGTCCAATACTTGTTGGACTTGTGCTTTTTTAAAATACTAACTGCACCGTCATAGCCTTCTAAATGTTCCCAACTTAACATTTGGAAGAATAAAGATGTCAAGGTTAAAACAGTAATTACTCTACAATGACTTGGTTAATCTTCATTAATTACTTCAACAACTTATCATAAACAAAGAAGCGATTAGCTGTAAAGGATATATTATTAATTAATTTATAATCTATCTAATAAAATTTTATCAGATGATTCTATTCACACCATCTTAATTTAAAAATCTAATATTTTATATTAGCTTCCGCTCATTATGTTAAAAGTACAAATTAGTATAGGATTGGGTCGAAGTTACCCACCCCTGGGGATATGGATCAAGGTTTCTGCCAGATGTTGGTCGAGAATTTAATACAGGATAGAGTCAGGTTCCACTAGAAAATATAATTTTTTTTTTTTAATTTTTCTATTAGAAATTTAAAAAATCCGTTATTTTAGCCTCCGGTTCCACAAGTGGACCCACCAAATCTATCATGCCAATCAAATTAAATGCTGTCATGTGATTGGCTACATCATCTAATACCACGTTGACCTAGATGCTGACATGGCAAGAAGATAAAGCTTCCGTACAAAATTTTAAAGGGCGAATATATCACTTAGAAAAATGTTCGGCTTTTGATGGCGACAGTTAAAATAAAATTCGTATATAAAAGCAACAAGATATCGCATCACAACAAACAAAATCTCCTGGAAAATATTTCATAGTTTATTTTCTTGGCAGCTTATGTAAATTAATTTTCTGCTTTTCATGCTCGAAAAGAACTTTTCCATGGAGAATGAGGAGGAGAAGCAAGTGAGCGATGGGGAGATTATCTTAAACCCTGATGGTCAAAACCCTAGTGGTCAAAACCCTAATAATAGAAGGAGTAATTATTATGGTGGTGGTTCAGCTGAGCCTTATGATATGCATAGTGAACTTCATGCGATGCATGGGAATGCTTATTTTGAGTTCTTTCCGCCGGGTTATCGTTTCAAGCCTTATGACCATGAGCTGGTGGTGAATTACTTGAGGAAGAAGATACTGAACGAGCGTTTGCCGCCCAATCGGATCCAGGAAGTTGAGCTTTATAAGAGAAATCCTCAGTACCTAGCAGGTTTGAAAGAGAGTTCTTTAGTTTCTTGATTATTAGTTTTGATTTTTTTTTTTTTTTTTAATTGTTTATGGAGTGAGAGTGATTCATCTTTGTAGATTAGTTCTTGACATTAAAGTGCTTTAGTTTTTGAGTTTCTTGTATGTTGAAGAAAGTGCTTTACTTCTTGAGTTAAAGTTTGTATCTTTCCCATTTGTTGCGTTTGGTTTTAAACAAAAAAAAAAAAAAGCTCTTTTCCTTGTATACAAAAGTTGGATCTAGTGTAGTTGTGCTTTAAATTCTCATTTTTCAAGTTTCGGTTGCCAAGGTTTTAACTCTCAATTTGAAAAAAAAAATTATAATTTAGAGCCTGAGCACAGATTTATGAATTGGGCGGAAGAGGGGGTTTTCTTTGATTGATGTGTTCTTTTCATTTATGTTCAGAGAATTACACTGCCCATGGAGACAACGAATGGTATTTCTTTACTCCAAGAGATAGAAAGTACAAGAATGGGGAAAGGCCTAATCGATCTGCTGGAGATGGATACTGGAAGGCTACTGGAGCTGATAGACCTGTCAATCATAATGGAGTTCAAGTTGGATCCCGGAAGGCCTTAGTCTTCTACAAGGGAAAGCCTCCAAAGGGTAACAAAACTGACTGGATTATGCATGAATTCAGAGTGGAGAATCCTCCCAAGAGAAAAAGGCCAGAATTTCAAAATGATATGCGCGTAAATTAAAATTTTCTCTCTTTTCTTTCTCTCTAATTCAATGCAGAACTTTTTTTTTTAATGTTAATGTTGAGTTCGTGTTTCCTGCAGCTGGATGACTGGGTTTTGTGTAGGCTATACAAGAAGGTTGACAAGAATTCCAAAGGTCCAGGTCGTCCAAGAGACGGTCGAGTCCAGGATCAAGAGCCTGAAAATGAAGTTCCTCCTCAGTTTCAGGATCGCGGGCAAATGCCAATAGTAGAAGAACCCAAGATGCTGCCTCAAGAATGTTTCAATATGCCTGAAGGCCTTGACTCCTTTGAACAAATTTTTAATCCTTTCAACCAGGCAAATCCAATGGGGTTGTATCATTTTGATAATTCTCCATTTCTTCATGGCTGTCAAAGCGGCTTTATCGGAGGCTCTCAATCTTTATACTCTCAGCTTGCGCAGAATCCAATGATTCACCATATGATTCCTGGTCATCATCAGAATCTTAATCTAATGTTTCCTGCAGAACCATTTTCTTCGGCGGATAACATAAAGTACGAGCAGTTCAATGACTATCACTCAGATGACCTTTTGAATATTCCACCACTCGATCAAGGAAATAATACTATTGAACAGATGGTTTCCAGCTTTAGGGGGGCTCCGAACTCTGTCATTCCTCCATTCAGTGATGATCGAGGGGCTTCGAGCTCTGTCATTTCTCCATCCTTCAATGATGATAAGAAGCTCAAAAAGCAGAAAAGGCATCTCTAGATTATCGTTTGAGTGAATTGTTAGATATCGTTTTCAGAAGACAGTTTAGGATTTTCTTATGTTAACAATTCACAAACCATCTTGTTTTGTTAGATACTGTTTTTAGAGAGTTTCAGGTTTATTAATTCTTGTTTTAACAATTAAATTAACAATCTTATTTTGTTAATATTGATTTTGCAGGCTTGATATATTCTTATGTGTTGACTGGAATTGTAGATCAAGAAAAATAAAAATTGATTAAATTGGCAATGGTTGTTTAAATCAATCTGCCCAAGTTTAATAATCAAAAAATGATCCAATTTTTTCCTTGAGCCTTTCTAGTGTGAATACTTCCCAGTTCACTTCATTTGATTCTTCTCATCATTCACTTGGGGGACCCTGAAACAATTTTGTCCAATTTCTCATGATTAGAAGTTGCCCGCTTGCTATTACTTAGATGGGGCAAAAACTGGACCCAACTAGTCTAATTTATGCTTCTAGCAGCTGCTAATTCTTCTTGAAATTCATATAAATTGCAGCTTTCATTCCATGGAAATGCAGACATCTTTCCAGAATCCTGAAGAAGGGAAGTCCTAGACAATAGTATAAATATAAACCCATTTGCTTGCTGCTCTGGCAAAACCGTGTGTATGCACTAGAACATACCAGAACCAATTTTTCATTGTCCAGATGGCAGCATATCATTGGTCAGGGGATAAAACACACGCTTGAGATAGCCTAACTCTGGGGTAGGTAGACATAACCTAGGAAGCAACTATGCTATTTCCCTGTAAAATAATGCATCCAAGTATTTGACTGGCTGAAATTATGACAAGGATCTCCATTTTAAAAATGAGCACAATTCCACAATTGTTTATGCATTCCAGCTGTTCAGTTCTCCTTTTGTTTCACCAACCAACTATATATTATAATATTAACTGGCCCTATAAATTGCCACGAAATCAACAAATTTTTAGTGTGTCAACATATTCTGACTTCTGAGTGCCAAATCCAAGTAAAAACACAAATTTTGCTAAAGTCAATGGCTTGCTATTATTCTGCTTCTTCTTCCTTCTATCCATATGTTTCAGTGCCCTTTTTTATGTTCTCTCTTTTGGCTGCTAGCTCTTTTCTTGTTGCATTCGGTAATTTTTACCAGGATGTTGATGTCACTTGGGGAGATGGCCGTGCAAAGATTCTCAACAACGGTGAGCTTCTTACTCTTTCTCTTGATAAAGCATCCGGCTCTGGCTTCCAATCCAAGAATGAGTTTCTCTATGGAAAGATTGATATGCAGCTGAAGTTTGTCCCAAACAACTCTGCTGGCACTGTTACTGCATACTATGTAAGTTCTTTTCTAAATTTATAGTTCTTGTTCCAATTTAATTTTATACTATGATGCTTGATTCTAATACATGGATTTTGTATTTTTCAGCTGAAATCACCAGGGTCATTTTGGGATGAGATAGACTTTGAATTCCTTGGAAATTTGAGTGGTGATCCTTACATCGTTCATACTAACGTTTACACTCAAGGCAAAGGTGACAGAGAGCAGCAATTCTACCTCTGGTTTGATCCCACTGCTGATTTTCACACCTATTCAATTCTCTGGAATCCAGGCCACATTGTGTAAGTTTTCCTAAAACCATATCTAATTTATCCAACTATTACTGAAATTTGGTTTAAGCACTTATGCTAATTCTGTTATGTTTCCTTTCTTTCAGCTTCTATGTTGATGGCAGACCGATTAGGGACTTCAAGAACCTGCAATCAATGGGAGTTCCGTACCCGAAGAACCAGCCAATGAGAATGTACTGCAGTCTCTGGAATGCTGATGACTGGGCGACAAGAGGGGGATTGGTGAAGACAGACTGGTCACAGGCACCATTTACAGCTTCCTTCAGGAACTTCAATGCCAAGAATGCTTGTGTTTGGGCTAATGGAGCATCGTCTTGCAGTTCAAACTCCACCGGGAATCCATGGTTCTCTCAGGACCTTGATTCTGCAAGCCAAAACACGCTCAAATGGGTGCAGAAAAACTACATGGTTTACAATTACTGCACTGACACCAGGCGGTTTCCTCAGGGCCTCCCTCAGGAATGCAAAGTTACAGCCAAGAAATAGGAGGATTTGAACTTCGTCTTCAAGCCATGCAAGGTTTGATATTCGCTTCAGAAATTCACTTTTGGATACATATAATTTTTTTTTTTTTTTTTATTTAAGCATTATTTTTGCAACTTTGATGTATCTAAATAAATTATTTAGAAATATAAATTTTTGCTTGTAAAGGTGGAATTATATGTAATGGTTTTAAAAGTTGTTCTAAGAAGATGTTATATAGGACAAAATTTTCAGATTTTTATAGTTTTGGATACAAAATAAAATCAGGTTTCACCTTTGTTACCATATATATATATATATATATATATATAGTATTCGAATACAATATTCATTGCCTTAAGATGATAATATGCAGGTAGTGGGATAATTTTAATGTGGAGAAAGGTACAAATAAAGATATCATTGCCTTAAGTTTTGATGTTTATCTAAGAGTTAATAAAGACTCCACATGATGAATATCTCTAAATTTATAAAAACCTTGAAATATTTATCTCTTTATTTTAAAAGTTTGAATCATTATCCATATCTAATTCAGGGGAGAAGCTTCCTTGCAGAATTAATGTAATATTAAAAGGTTTAAATAAAAATAAACTCAAAAATATGCATGCTCCATATTAGGTTTAATTCTCGACATCACCTATCAAGGTCAACAATTGAGCATGTCAAGTTAAAGGTCCAAATCCAAGTTTTATGGGCCAATTTTCTGTGGGCTTTAAAATGGTATTTAATGGATCTAGAGTCCTCCTACCTTTCTTCTTCTCTCATTTTCCCTCTCTTTTGTTCATTTATTTATATTATTATTACTCTAAATCTTCTTTCACGGAACAAAAAAACTAGTATAGATTATGTAGACCTAATATATCAAGAAAAATTAAATGTTTTAAACCAATGACATACCAATTAAAATTATTTAGTATCATCATTTATCTAAAAGAAAATTTATTAAAAATTTAAATTCTAAACTGCTTGTCAATACTTGGCATTAGTGACAGATCCAGGATTTTTGCCCAAGGGGGCCTCTGCGGCTCCACCATTATTTATTAAACAACTAGTAAAAACTTTAAAAAATCATCAAACCTTAAGTAAATAAAAAAAAAAAAAAAAACATAATATCAAGAACCTGAGAGAAAAGAATGCAATAACATAATATTTTCCTACTTGAATAAATTTATGAGAAACAAAATTTTGAGTAACTGTGTTGAATAAACCTTGAGCAAAACCTTCTTTTAATATTTTTGTTTTTGGCTTCCAAAGATTAATATAAATTTTCATGACTTTGATCAGACCTAGTTAAAGCCAAAGTTAACCAAAACTTAAATCAAGTCAACGTTGCTTTAACTTTTAATATGAATTAATAAAAAAATGGGGAATTTTCTTAGTATAAACATAGATAGTAACTCAAATTTATTTAATAATTTTGAACACCTGAGCGGTAACGTTTAAAATATAAGAAAGTGGTAGGTGAAAGATGAAAAATAGCGTCCTTTAAAATATAGTTAAGACTTTAATTTGGAAAAACAAGTTTATTTTTAGACATAAAACACAAAATAAACCCACAAGGTCAATGTTTTTTTCCCTCAAATTAGAATAAAAAATCCTCAAAAAAAAAAAAAAAAAAAAGATTCAACCCTAAAATAAAGTAAATTGAAATGAACAATACACATACAAAAAACTGATAAAATAGAAAACGAAGCTAATTATAGTACCTTGATCGAGTAGTAAAAGATTTAACAATTTCAGTCTTCAAAAATTTTAAGAGCGAATAACATGAGAAAGAGAATGAGCAAATGAGAGAGTAAAAAATTTTAGACATAAAATCATAAAAAGCAGATGGAACCGCGGAGAAAAATAGTAGGGAGAGTTTTAAACTTTTAATATGATGTAAGCTTAAAATATATATATTAATAACAAGCTTTTTATGGACTTAGATATATGTATAATAATTCTCATTTTTTTAAAATATGAGGATGAGTCTGAGTATATATATTAATATCAATTTTTTTTTGTGGTCTATAACTCTATATATTAATAATTTTTTTTTTTTAAATATGAGGTAGGCCCAAAGGGGCTGAATTCGCCCTGCTTGACATCCAAAAGATAAAAAGGTACCGCATGAACACTTATCAAATATATCACCTAGAATGAGTACTACTACATACACAAATAATTGATACCAATTATTTTCTACAAATGGATATGACAACTTTTTTTAGTGAGTAAGCTCAAAACATTTAAGTTGATAAATTTATAATAAAATTTTGTAGGGTCAATATAAATTTAAGTAGTGTCAAAATTATAAATATTGTAAAATATAAAGTATTGTTTTATTTTCAAAGTTTGGGTGTGTTCAATAAAATTTAAGTGAGGTTAAAATTGTAAATACTATAAAATATAAAACTTTTTCTTTTTCAAAGTTTAAGTGGGTTCAATTTGGACCCATATGTTATAGTACTGTGGCTACGTGGCATACATCCCTCACCTTGCATGTTTGATATGTAATTTCTTTGAATTTATTTCTAATTTAAAATCTTGTTTAAACAAAAGAGTTTATATATAAAGTATAACTGCACCAAGAACTACCATAATTTACATAATTTGTTTTTTACTATTTCTCTATATTTTGAGTGAAATCGTAAAATATATGAATTTTATACACTAGAAAAGCACAATAATCTATTTCTATCGACTTTCCCTATGATTTTGCTTCTCGACACACATTGAATTGACGTAATATGATTTCTTAAAACTTTTGTTAAATTAATTAATTCACATGTTTGCTATTTGACGATGATGGTGAAAATAAGGCTCACGGGTAATATGTTACAAAGTGTTAAATTTGTGCATGTAAGACCATTTAAATACGTATCTATCGAACCCAAAAGCCAAAAAAGCTACACTTCTAACTTCAGCAAGCAACAATTTCTTCATGTGACTTTACTACAAAAAAGTTTCCTCAAATACAAATTAAGAGGATGCAAATCCGTGTTTAAATGGACATATCAACAGTATGATATATGTGTTACCACTTTGTTCTATATGGTTTTGTTTATATAAATATATTTATTTTTAACACTGTTTTTTTTTTTTCTCAATTCCTTCCCAAATGAAAACCATCAAATTAAAGTACATAAAAACAAGTGGATATGTAATCTGTTTTTATCAAATATTATTTAAGAGAATTTGTCTACTTACTAACAAAATTCTTGTTTACCAACAAATACGGTCATCACATAAAGTGAATTTTTTTGGATAACCATCTTTCTACCTAGTAAAAGATTGGGATAATACATTTATTGCTGATGTATGAGTAAAAACTTTTCCACCTAGATGCAATGGAGCGCAGGGTGCTTGACCTGATCCTGTCAACGAATATGACAACGGCTAGCCGACCTTATCACTGTTAATTATAATTCTCTGGACGCCTAATTTTGTGCAGGCTGCCTGGAGCCTTCGTGCCTGGTGCTGGTACGGGTTGTGGATAAACTTCGCAACTTTTAAAGGGCAAAGGCGGCAGGCGCAGGCAGCACCGAACCCATTTGGGGACCTTCCATATCTGCAAAGAAATTGCACCAAGGAGAGTCAGAGCCGTATCTGATATCTATCCTTTTCCTATTAATTTATGCAACAGCTAGCCAGCTGTTTCCAACTTTGCTCTAATTCACCCGTCTGAAACGGCAAGAAACCTTCCAAAATCACCTCTCTTTTCACTTCCTTTTTGTCCATTCCCTCTTCACATAGTCCTATATATTCCTTCCATGCATGCACAGTTGAGACACCAGAAAACTTCACTTTTAAAAGAACAAAATGGGATCCCTTCTTTAATAGTTTGCTGGATCTTTAATGGTTGTTTCTGCCGGGAATTTTAACCGGGATTTTGAAATCACATGGGGAGATGGTCGTGGTAAAATACTCAACAACGATGAGCTTCTTACTCGTCCCTGGACTATTATTCTGGCTCAATTCAGTCCAGAATGAGTATTTATTTGGCAAGATTGATATGCAATCAAGCTTGTCGTTGGAAATTCTGCTGGCACTGTCACTGCTTACTATGTAAGTTCATCTCTTTCAGAATTTTGTTGGTAATTTTGTTTGTTTCAGGATACGTGTATTCATGCGTATGTTTTTGCTAACACTTGTTGTTTCAGTACGTGTAATTCATGCATATGTTTTTGCTAATACTTGTTGTTTCAGTTACGCTCAGATGGGGCAGCATGGGATGAAATAGACTTTGAATTCTTAGGAAACCTGAGCGGTGAACCTTACACGTTCACCAACCGTTATAGCCAAGCAAAGGTGACAGAGAGCAACAGTTTCACCTCTGGTTCGATCCCACTACGATTTTCACACCTATTCCGTCCTCTGGAATCCCCAACCATCATGTAAATAATTAACTCCATAGTTTAATTCTATCAAAACTGACGTGACATAAATTTCATTATGCAAATGATACTTCAATAAAAGATAAAGGGATAAATTTTACTGACTTTTTCTATTGTTTTACTTTACCGCATTCAGTTTCTCTTGTCGATGGCCACTCCAATTGAGAGTTCAAAAACCTGGAGACATTGGCGTTCCGTTTCTGAAAAAACCAACCGTGAGATACAGTCCAGTCTCTGGAACGCGGAGACTGGGCTACGAGGCGGACTTATCAAGACAGACTGGAGCCAGGCTCCTTTCACGGCCTCTTCCAGGAACTTCAATGCGGAGGCTTGTGTTTGGTCCTCCGGAAAATCTTCTTGCAGTTCAAGCTCGCCTCCTAGAGTAATTGGTTCACTCAAGCGTTGGACTCCGCCGGCCACCAAAAACTCAAATGGGTTCAAACAACCACATGATTTACAATTACTGCGCTGACACAAAGCGATTCCCCCAGGGCCTTCCCAAAGAATGCTCATTATTAACGTTTTAAACTATTCGATACATAAAGTTTTATAAGAAACTACAGCTGCTTTTGTTTTACTGCAGGATGTTTTATACCAATATGTTTTAATATTTCTAGAAAAATATTTAGTTAAATACTACTAATTTGTTGTGTTAATTGAGTTCTTAGCATTTTTGTATATTTTGAAGAATTTTAAAACATTTTCAATCTAGTTTAGGTGGATTTTATACATATTAAATCAATTCAGATTAATCGACAAGTTTCGTTAGGTTAATATGATGAATATAATGATAACGTCTCAATCTCATTCTATTACTTGAAGTAGTAGGGGTGAGCGGTTCCGGGTACCCTGCATTTTCCG